CCCAGCCTGGGGACACAGCGGGGGGGCCCGGGGGGACACACATGGGGACAGGCATGAGGACACATGTGGGGGCACATGTGGGGACACAGGGACGTGTGTGGGGACAGGTGTGGTGACACAGATGGGGACATGCACGGGGACACGTGGGGACAGGCATGGGGACACATATGGGGACATGTGGGGACACGTGGGGACACGGTGGGGCATTATGGGGACATGTGGGGACACGTGGGGACACAGGTGGGGCATGGGGACACATGGGGACAGGCGTGGGGACACGTGGGGACACAGGTGGGGCATGGGGACAGGCATGGGGTCATGGGGAGTCACATGGGGACACATCAGACATGGGGACATGTATGGGGACACAAGTGGGAACACACATGGGGACATGCAAGAGGACATGTATGGGGACAGGCATGGGGACACACATGGGGACACATGTAGGGACACACATGGGGCATGGGGACAGGCGTGGGGACACAGATGGGGGGACATGGGACATGCATGGGGGGACACATGGGGGCATGGGGATGCACAGGGGGACACAGGCGGGGACATGCAGAGGGGACATGGGGACACGCCCATGGGACGTGCACAGGGGACAAGGACCCCCATGGGGCATGCCCGGGGACACGCGGGGGGACACACGTGGGGACACACACGGGGATGGGGACACACAGGGACAGGGACAGAGACACAGTCAGTGCTGGACACCAAATGTCCCCACTGCCCTCTCCCCATGTCCCCATGTCCCCACGTCGCCCTGTCTCCATCTCCATGTCCCCTCATGTCCCCACCGTGTCCCCAATACCCGTCCCCACGTCTCCCTCCCCATGTCCCCAATACCCGTCCCCACCATGGTCCCCCCCATCCCCAAGTCCCCATCTCCATGTCCACACCGTCTCCATGCCCCCACCATGTCCCCACCCCTCTGCCCCATCCCCGTGTCCCCAGCACTCATTCCCCTGTGCCACCATGTCCCTGTCTCCGTGTCCCCACCATGTCCCCTTCCCCATATCCCTACCATGTCCCCTCCCTGTGTCCCCATTCCCATGTCCCCAGCGCTCATCCCCCCGTCCCACTCTCG